TATTAAAAGTTTTATGAAAACTTATCAGCACTGACTGTATTTGAATTTTTTTCATTACTTGATTTTTCATATCTTTCTTCTATTTGTGTAAACACAGCAAGTAACTTACTATATTTTTGTTTTTTAAAAAAACATTTACAAGATGTTAAAAACAATGAATAGAGGATGATTATGTAGATTTGGAAGACTTGAAACTGGGTCATTCAAATATTTCCTGTTTCTACCCTTAGCCATTGAAGACCATCTTCTAAAAGAGTTCATACACTAGGGGCAGGAAGAGGTTAAGTTGACTCTGCAATATGCTGACTCATTTTTATGTTAATATTTTAAAGCAAAAAAAAAAAACCAAAACCCCAAACCAAACCAACCACTTTTGCTTGTAAAATCAAATATATAGTTTAGATATTTGTATTTGAATTGGAGTTTGCCCAGAGCAGCATGGTTAACTGTAACTCTGCATTTGGATACTAAAAGAAGAGAACCAATTGAAAATAATTTTCTTTATTGGCTTATTAGACTTGCATTGAAATTGTATGTTCTGATCTCAGAAAATACATTTTCACAATCAGGGTGATCTAACTTTACAATGGAATGTGTGGAGAGCTTGTGGGATCTCCATTCCTGGAGATGCTCAGAACTCAACTGGATATGGCCTGAACAACTGGACCCAACTTTGAACGTGGCACATCTATGAGCAGGACCAGAGTTCAGAACCTACAGAGTTCTCTTCCAGACTAAATCACTATAATCTCTAAACTCTTAAAGCAGTGCTTAGCTCATTGAGAAGCTTGCTAATGAAACTGCATTAGAAAATAACTATTTTTTTCCTCTTAAAATCATTTTGTGGATATTCAAAATTGGAGTAGACCAGTCTGCCAACTTCTTAAGAACTGGTTTTACCTTCTTTCTTTCTTCCTTTCTTTTCTGTCATTCCCTTCTGTTGTTTTTCTGTCTGTAGCTAATGTCCTTCTCATCTGTTTCCCATCACCTCTGTACAGACCATTCATATAATGATGAATGTGTTTCCCCAACAACTCAGCTATGTTGTAGATATACTAGCCTTGCTCTGTTCATAGGGAACTGAAGTACATGGTAAGTTAGAGGTGCTGGACAGCTCTGAAATCCAGGCTGATACAGAAACCGAGTGAGAGCTACTGAGATACAGTTCAGTGCTTCACTTGCAGACACGAATCATTCCCTGTTGTTTCACAGGCAAAAATTCAGCTGGCAGTTTTTCTGTTTCTTAACAGCTTATTTTTTATATGCTACTTAATATTGGAGTCTTTAATTTTTTTAATGTGTTATTACATAATTTCCTTCCAGAGTTGTCTGTTTTCTCTTTATTTTCATGCTTTCTAAATGAGCATCTCCCTGTAAATACCTTTTCTTTGCTGTTACTTTTCCCTAGATATATTGTTGTATGCTTCTGTAAAAGTAAATCTCATTTCAGCGCCTATTGAACTCTCCTAATCCCCGTTTCATCTGTTTGTGTAATTTCTTTGTTCTCAATCCTTCCCAGATCAGTATAATCAGTGAATTGAATTATTAAGCTATTTGCTGGGCAGCATTGACGTTAGGTAGGAATTAATGTATTGGGGAATCTCAAAGCTTCCTCTGATATCCTTCTCCACATGGACCATTTCTGGTTTTGTTCACTTGTTGCCTTTTCTGGCTTCATGTGGTTGGTTTGTTGTTTTGTTTGTTGGTGTTTTTTTGTTGTGGCATTATTCACAGATACCAAGCTGCAGCACAAAACTGAAGTTGTTTTCAAAAGCCTATAGTATTGATCAGTGTATCTAGTCCTACTGTGATTGTGTAGACGTATCGGGCGTGAGAAGGTGTTCGAAGGTGTTGAATGCTTTAGTGCATTTACTTTTCAAGGATGTAATAAAGGAACTATTTAGATAATAGAACTGTGAATGGAATCTGTTGTTCACATCTTTCTAACCACTGTGCTGTAAGAGTGATTCCAGACAATTAATGTTTTTACACTACAGTACATGATTTTTTTTCAGCCTCTTTTCAAGTGATGATTAAATGGAGTTATATGAAGGAAGTCACTGAAGAGGAAAGAATACATTAAACAATATGAGCAATAAACTTTTCCTTAGATACTAATTGAACTAAATGCTTTTTTCAGGCTGTGTACATGATGCCCACAGAAGGAGATGATTCATCCAAAAGTGTTCCTTTAGCATTGCAAAGAGTGTTTTATGAGCTGCAACATAGTGACAAACCAGTTGGAACTAAAAAGTTAACAAAATCTTTTGGGTAAGTTTCAGAGATTTGTAGTATTTATTAGGCTGTTAAGTAGCTTCCTAAAGCTTTTCTTTAAAAAGATTTTATTTTAATCAGGCTAGTTTTAGAGAGGTGCAGAGAAATGATAATACAGCATTATGTTAATTGCAAACTTTTCTTAGTTTGCTTGGATAGGTTTGCATCTATAGTCAGTACTAAAGGCAACTGATCCAAAAGTCAGATTTTTTGGCGAGGGGAGCAGTACACAGTCAAACACAACTGTTAGCAGGGTTATAATTTACCTATTACCTGAAGATTGTGTGATGTTGCTTAAGTAAAATTCAGGACAAAATATGTTGTTGAAACATTGCAGTTTATGTATTGTTAATGTCTTTTAAAAATGTAAATATGTTTTAAATTTAGAGAAATAGCAGTAATTTGCATTTCCGTATTGTTAGTTCTGCATTGCTGACTGTTGTAACATTATCTTATGACATGTCGAAGATGCACATATTTTTGCCCATGCACAATGAAGAAATATTTCATACTGTATTCTGTTTTGTGATTTGAAGCTTAAGAGGAGTATCTGTTGTATGATGTAAAGGTGTGAGAGTACACACACAAAGTAATTCTTTGCATTTTCCTCACTTTAGCAGCCTATTTTCCTCCATAAAGCCCCTACGAAAAGGCTTGCTTTTTACTTTCATTTTTGCCCAGTATCCAGTTCACTACCTGGTATTTTTTCCAGTGTGATGGTATTTTTTGGGAGATGGCGTTACAGAGGGTAGTTTTAAATCTGGAGTATCTAGACATAGAATTATACAATATAGCTGCATTGAGGGTGTTGATTCTTTTTTTTAACTAGCTTGATGTTTCAGTTGAGCACAAGTTAGGACAGAAGATGAAGATTAGCATAACATTTACAAGCCTTTTCTTTGCATGTCGTGTAAGCATGGTGTAGGATTTTATAAAAAATTTTCGAAAAGATTGTATTTTACATGAGTTTGTTGCACTGTATTTGTAGACTAATCTTTTGTAGTAATATTGACAAGCATTTTTTATTTAAAAACAGTTTAGGAAGTTTGTACCAGCTTTTGCACTTAGCTGTCCTAAACCTTGCAGTAGCGCTCACTCCTGATAAGACTCTTTGTAACCTTTCCTTTTCACCTTTTGGGGGAATTTTAAAATGAGATGGGTAACCCCAGGGTTATATGTTTGTCTGGCTGTATCCTCTTCCTACTAGCACATGGTATATTTAGTTTATCAGCACTGCTGCTGTCCTGTTATGCTGGAAGGACTTGCTGATATCATAAATGATTCATCTTGAGTTAAGATCCCAACTGTGTCCTGTTCAGTAGCATGAAGAGATCTTTCCTGGGTGTGTTGGAGATGCTTAATTTTGTATTTGAGAGCAAGATTTTAAAAATGTATTCGTGCTTGCCTTCGTTCTTGGGGAGCCATTTCAGAATATGTTTGAAGATCGATCTTTCACCCCTATTAAATCAGAGAGGGGTTTCTGACCTGAGACCTACTTATGTGCTGTGTAGAGTGTAACTTTTTACTGGGTATTTTGAGTTTCTAAGTTTGACTTCTTTCAGTAGAAAGTGATGCTGTTGTCTGAAGGAGCCCTTTTTTATCCTAATATTAGTATGTAAACTTTTTATTTTATTTTGTCCTGTAAATTGGCTAGCGTTTAAAGCCTAAGGGAGTCAGGAGGTTATTTTCCATTCTTAATTATCCAATAGGTAACTTAATTCAGCTTGTTTAAGTGAGGAGCCCCACACAGTTTCTTTTGGCACTCTTCTGGGAGTAGTACACTGCTGTGTGACAGTGGTGGTGAGTCAGTGAGAAGAGGGTGGGGGAAGAAGATACGGTTACTCTTGCTCCTGGTCACCTCTGCGCTTGTGGCTTCAGGAACCAGGGTTGAACCTCATGCTGAAGCTAAAGGCTACAGCAAACATAGCTTATTTCATATGGCTGGGAAAAAGAGAGCAAAAAAAGAGTTGTCAGAGACTTAAAATTACAAAGAATTCCTGCGTTTCACAGCTCATAGGGGAAAGTATTTAATGCTGAAACTAAAAGCACTACACTTCTCTTTATTTAAGGCAGTAGTGCTGAATACCCTCGTTGCAGTGTGCCACCTTGGCTGTGAGCCCTTCAGAGACTGTTGCTGTCACCTCTCCTTTCACATGAGTGTGTTTGCACATGGACAGTTCAGGAAGCTAGATGTGTCTTTGCATCCTTGGAGTTACTGTGCATCCAGAATTAACTATTTAGCTGAGCACAAAGGAGCCAGTATTTCCTATAAATCCATTTACCTCCTTTCATGTGCTGAAATAATCCCTGAATGCTACTTGACTGCACCTGAAGGGCCCTCAGAAGAGAGGCTGCTAGAAGCACACTATGGAAACTATTCTGACAGCATTGAATTGCTCCCAGGCCTTTTCTTAATAGTTTTTTTTTGACGTGAACTGAGACTAGGTTGTGGACTGGAAGAATTCTTCTGCTAGTAACAGCCTGGCCCTTGTCTCTTTGGCTGGCTCCAGCTGCCTTCCTGGTCCCTGTCCTCAGATCCACAGAGTGAGAAGGCAAGCAGGCGTAGAACGGCTGCCAAAGTGTCCCACAAGTTCACTGCCCATCCTTACTGCCAAGAAAATCTTACAGAACTAAAAAAAATCCGTGCGTCAGCCAGTACTAAATCAGAGTGTCTTTACATCTTGCTATGTATTAAATTCTTGATCTGCAAAGAGATCACAAAAATGTCTTTAGAACTGTAAGTTTTCTTCATAATATAGTAATTTTGTATTAATTTGCCTTACAAAGGTGGGAAACTTTAGACAGCTTCATGCAACATGATGTCCAGGAATTATGTCGAGTGGTATGTTTTTTTTTCTATTTCTTACTGATCTGTGATACGTGATGTCTCTTGATATTGTGTATATATAATATAATTCAGTAACACTCCTAGTAATAGTGGCACTGATTAATTTAAATTAGGTCTCTAAGATGTAGAGTTTTTGCCTCTATTTATTTCTCTTTTTTAAGAATGGGATTGATTGTGGCCTTTTCTGAGTGAGGAATTTGTAAAGGACAGGGAAAGCTGAAAATAAGTGGAACCCGTGCTAGTGGTCCTTGTCTAGCCATGGAGAGAAATGCAGTTTTGAAGACACAAATGCATTGTTACATTTGTGAGGTTTTCCAGACTCAAAGGACTGTAGCTGGGGTAGTCCTCAGTGCTGTTTTTTGGGGGAAGAGAAGGATTTAAAGGACTAGAAAGGAGATACCAGTATGAATAGACTAAAGTTTCATTTTTATACCAGTGACTTAGAGCTTAATTAGTGAAGTAGTCATCTGTATGTAATGAAAAAATTTAAAAACTACAAGTTTATCCTGTGTAAAAACTAATTTTTCTTCCAGCTGCTTGATAACGTGGAAAATAAAATGAAAGGCACGTGTGTAGAAGGCACTATTCCTAAATTATTCAGAGGGAAGATGGTGGTATGTATTTAGTCTTTTTTAAAATTTTTTTTTTAAATTTAAATTAACTGTTACTTGTATACATTGAAATGCTGTGGGTTTTGTTTTTTGTTTACAGTCTTATATCCAATGCAAACACGTAGACTATCGATCTGAACGAATAGAAGATTATTATGACATCCAGCTAAGTATAAAGGGAAAGAAAAATAGTAAGTGATACATTGTGATATGCACCAATCAAATACATCAACATGTTGAACATCTTTAGTGCCTGTTGATTTCGAATGGATTTGTTTGTGCTCAGCACTTTGAAATATCCTTGCTTTAATTTCAAGAGGAAAGATTTTTGTCACCTCATTGAAAACATCTTCTGCAGAAAATGTTTTTGGTTACGTTACGTCTTCTCCATTCTCCCATTTCTCTTCCCTGCTCCTTCCCTAATTCTCTTACTGATATTTTTTTATAAATCTATCAGTTATAGGAGTTTTCCTGGTGTTGTAAATGTGCATACTGTGCCATGGTGATAACAGGAGTGTTGTCACAGTAGGTTATAATTTATAAATGAAGTTGGATGAAATAGATTCTTATTTAGACCTGAGCGTCATAATAGGCAAACAAAAAGAATGCATTAATCGGAGCAGCATAGCAGTGGTCCCCTGTCATCACTTTACCACGTACCTGGCATACAAGGTGCAAAAAAGGGCATGTAAGAGTCCAGCAAACAGAATCATTTAGCTTGATACTTAACAGTTGCAAAGTGAGAAGCGGAGATTTGGCAGACAGTTGTAACTTTGATTTTAAAATCTGTTGATATTCTTGTGTATGCCCCTACAATTTGGTACATTTCTTGACATTCTTAAGCAATATAAAACTTTTTTTTTCTTAAATAAAGACAGAAATACTCAAACACAAGCTCACATGTCTTAATATGTTATTTGATTATTACATTGAGCCCCAAGGCTAGAGTAAACTTACATTTTTCTTCCTCCTTCCCTACAATTCCCGAATCTTTTTTTCATTTAGTTTTTGAGTCCTTCATTGACTACGTTGCAGTGGAACAGTTGGATGGTGATAACAAGTATGATGCAGGAGAACACGGCTTGCAGGTATTTTTCTTTTTTTAATTTGGTTTTAAATTTTATTTCTCTGTCCTTCATAAAGTAACTTAACAAAGCTATGGTAGCCAAAAAATGTTGCCAAGCCCATTCTAGGTTGTATCAACCAATTTTGATTTTTTTTTTTCTCCCTTAGACAAGCATTTACATGGATCCTCTTAATTGCTGTTAGGTTTGTTGAAATGTAGCTTGGATTTGAAAAGTCTAGTCAGCACTGAGTTTCGCTTTTATACCTGTGTTTGAGTGATAGAATTGTTAACTACTGATCTCAAGACTGAGTGGTTTTTCTAAGAGTAGTCTGTTCTTCTATGTGTCTAGTAAAAAAGCAGCATAGCTCTAAGAGTTTATAGAGGTCATTTTTGTATCATCAACAAGAACACCAAATGAACCTGTGGAATTTTAAACATTTATGTGTATGCACATGTTTCTGAGCTTTTCAACTGCGCTGTGCTGCACCCACTGAAGGAAGCTGAGGTCCATTTTAAAACCCTTTGTTTTACTAAAGCTTTTTTTTTTTTCTTTTCTTTTTTTGCAACTTCCGTAAAGCAGTTTTGGGGAGTAATGTTCTATATATTCTTTAGCTGTTCTCAGGAAGGTACAGCATGGTAGCCAAATAGTTGTTGGCAGAATGCAATAAGCATCAAATTCTTAGTTGATAAAAAATGAATTTTCTCCTCTGTATTCTCTTTTGTTTGTACAGGTAACTTGCTCTTAATACAGTGAGAAGTTTGCATGTGCTTGTATAAATGGCCTAAATTTAAATGAACTGAGTTCTTGTGAGTGTTATTGGAGTAGCTTATGCAGCGTTAAGATAGTTTACTTCCACCCCAGTTCTGAACATTCTTTGTTGCATGTTGTGTTGTCGAGCCTATAAAATAAAAGACCATAGGAGGAGTGTCTGTGGCAAACGAATATTTTGAGTTGCTAAAAATCTTGCAATTTCAACCCTCTGTTTCCTTTAAAATGTCTAGGAGGCAGAGAAAGGTGTGAAATTCCTAACATTACCACCAGTATTGCACCTACAGCTCATGAGATTTATGTATGATCCTCAGACTGACCAAAACATCAAGATAAATGATAGGTAAGGTTTTTGGTTTGGTTTTTTTTTGTGGTTTTGGGGGTTTGTTTGTTTTGTTGTAGACTTTGGATCCATTAAGATATTTTATAAAAAATAATTTGCTCAAGTCCTATCTTTTTAATCAACTCCAAGAGGAAGATGTATGCACTGGCACATGTTAGAGGTCCCCAAAAGGTGCACTGATTGAATATTAAAATTCTGAATGACAAATTGAATACTTAAATAGTCATTTGTAGCTGTTGTTTTGGATATGAAACAAGTGAATGTGTCTTTTAATGCCTTGTGGAACGTTCTCTGTGCCATGTGTGGAAAATTGGTACATTGCAGTAGGCTGCCACAAGAGTGAGCAGGATAAATAAGTAGTCTTCTGCTTTCCCTCCATCTATTTCCATGAGTGCTCTCACAGTAAGTAGAGGCTGATAATTTATCAAGGAGATACATTGTTGGTTGTAAACTAAATCTGTATTGCAGCCATTTCAGTCTTGCCAAGAAGGTGAGGCTGCAGCAGGTGAAAGACATTTCAAAATGTTCCAGTCCAGTGGTACCTGTGCTGGAAAAGCTGTATTTGTGTACTAGAAATTAACAGGTTTAGAGCTTTTCCCTTGGCACAGTGAGTCCAAACCAGCACTGTTTCAGTACTCTTACCCTTGTTACTGACGGCATGTTTTTCTCAGGTGCTTGTAAAGATTATTTTTATTCTATATTAAAACAGTGTAAAATCTGACATTCTATGCAGTATATCCTGGCATTGTCACAATAACTTGTTCAATTTTTGTAACTTGCTTTAGCATTAAGTACTGATATCCTGCATAATAGCATGTGTCTGTCTTAACTACAAATACAACTGTCTTACTTCTTTCCAAACTAGGTTTGAGTTTCCCGAACAGTTGCCACTAGATGAATTTTTGCAAAAAACAGATCCTAAAGATCCTGCCAATTACATTCTTCATGCAGTTCTAGTACACAGTGGAGATAACCATGGCGGACATTATGTTGTTTACTTAAATCCAAAGGGAGATGGCAAAGTGAGTATTGAAAAGCACCTAAACATATTTGTGTTTTGCAAATATATGCTTGCAGTTTTCATAATGAGCAAAGCTTTGGAATTTCATTCCCTTACAGAAGAGTGTGCTGGCACACTCACTTCATCACACAGGGATTTGGCTTCTCCATGTAGTTCTTAGCCTGATACTTTTTAATTTGATGCCTTTTCTAATGTATTTGGGAAACTTACTTTGTGTTTACAAAAAGAAAACCCAGCCGCCCTGTTGTCTAATTTTTGCTCTTCAGGGAGGAGCCTGCATTTGGAGGCACTGAAGAATCACTTGCCTTCTTAAGAGGAGCAGCTTTATCTTTGTTATTGCCTTTTGGCAAAAGATTGTTAACAAAGGGAATCCCTTCAGTTGTGTGTATTTATGCGTTCAAGTTCTACTGCCATCAAATTTTATCCAACATTTTTGTTTGACTTTATTGTGAAGCAAACATGAATGTTTTGAATGTTTCTGTGACTCGGAAGTTCAGTATCTTTGCATGTCCCACTGTTACAGGTTTAGGTGACTTGATTGGGTTGGACATTTATAGGTCAGGTGTTTCTTCCTTTGAGTTGACTGGTTTTGTGTGTACATCACTGTTCACAGTAAAAGTAGAAGTCAGCTTTTGCCATGAATTTGTTGCTATTTGTCTTTCATTCTTAATTGGCTTTATTGCTTTAATTTCAAATTTGCTGTAAATTACTTTAAATGTACAAATAATTACTAGATGTCTTGAGCATCACTGCTTTTTATTTTATTTTACAACAAATGAGGTCAAATTTCTGAAATTCATATAGGAATGTTAGATTTTTAATAGCAATCTGAAGAAAAAGTTATTTGGATAATTATTGGGCTTTTGATATTCAGTGTAAAATGTTCAAATATTTCAGTAAAGGCTTGGTGTTTCTGGCCTTCCTTATGCTGAGTGCAAGTAGCAGGTAGCACTGATTATACTGAACTAGATTTTTTTTTTTTAAATTCATGCTGCTTGAAGAGCAATTTTAGTTACCTCAAAGAGCTGAAAGATGTGTCAGAAATAGGATTAATCTATCATTCAAGAACATGTTTTTGTGTGTATGATATTATTTATATAAAATTTTCTTTCTAGTGGTGTAAATTTGATGACGATGTTGTATCGAGATGTACAAAGGAAGAAGCGATTGAACACAACTATGGAGGTCATGATGATGACTTATCTGTACGGCACTGTACGAATGCATACATGTTGGTTTACATCAGGGAATCAAAATTAAGTATGTATACCCTGCATGCGTTCCAAGTTAGATTTACATACAGGGATTCATCACTAAATTTTACTTGTGAATTGTTGGCAATCTTCCTATACAAAGGGGCTTTGTTAGTTATAGTTGGAATTTATAGATTCTGTGGGATCAACCAGCCTTTTTTTCTCTTCTGGAAAGTATGTGCTAATCTAGTATCTTCTTGTCTTAGCATAGTAGGACAAGACTGTTTATCTGCAGTGCTTTAGCCTTGATTGTTTCAGAGGATGGAAAAAGCAGTGAACTAAATTCAGTGATGGAAACTAGATCCAATTGGTTATAAATATGTTGATATATGTATACTAAAAATATTGAGTGGTGGTAAATATTTTTTTTTAAATCCTGAAAATGAATATTTAATTCAGAAGTCTGATACATATTTCATGGAAGTAGTAAATTTTGGCTTGGGATAGGAAATGGTTCTTTTGCCAGAACGTTATGATATCAAACCATGTTTTTAATTAAAAGATGAAAAAAAGCTGGTTTTGACTTCAAATCAGAAGAAAGTCAAGTGTGTATGAAGAAAGCCCTGTTTAATGTAAACCTTGAAATGACATCACAAAATCTACTTTGTAGGTGAAGTTTTGCAGCCTGTCACGGACCATGATATTCCTCAACAACTTGTGGAAAGGCTACAAGAAGAGAAAAGGATAGAAGCTCAGAAGAGGAAGGAGAGGCAGGAAGCTCACCTCTATATGCAAGTGCAGGTCAGCTTTTGAAACAGATCAAGTTGCAACTACCTTACCATTAAAATTCAGAATGTTGAGCCACCCAAGACAAACTTTGATTTTTCAGTTTTTTGCATTTGTGTTTGGAAATAGCATTTGAAGTGAAATTACTGTTTTTGTGCTTATAAGTCTGATTACAATGCTCTTAAGTCTGCATGCAATGAATCCTAATGAAACACAGTGCTGTATGTTATAGATATTTCTCTTTTCTGTAGAAGTTATGTGCTTGCAAACAAAAATAGTAAGTTCAGGTGAAAGGAAAAGGGCCAGGTTATTTTAAATGACTGCCCTGCCACTGCACTTTTTTCTTCTTCAGGAATTCTCTTCTAAAATTAGAATGTATCAAGCCATAGGCTGCAAGCCTGGACTACTGCCAAACTGAGCTCATCAAGTAGAAGCAGAAGGAGAGAGTGCTTATATTTGCAATTATCTTTTTGGAAAAGCCAGATGGACTAGATTGTTACAAATTGCCTTAAGGAACCCTGTTTATGGCTCTTCCCAGAGCCCATCTGGCAGAAGAAAATAGCACCCATTTTCCATTTGCCTCCATGTTTCCTTGCATCTTCTTTCTGGTGTTCAGAAGTGGAGCTGTCGGTGAAGTTCACCTTGTTCTGCGCTGCGTTTACACTAGAGCTGTTTCCAGTGGAGGGACTGGCAGAGTTGCACCCTTTGTCTTTCTGTCAACAAAAAATGCATGGGAGCAGTGGGAGATACAGGAAACATTTCAGGCCAACCTGCTTGCGTTACCCCAGTAAAATAATTATGTAGCCTTTTTTTAAGTGCCAAGATTGTTAGAGCACATGTTTCCAAGATTGAGATCTAAGCAGAACTGGTTTTTAATTGTTTGGGATTTGTAAGAATTAGTGTATTTTAATTACTTACACTGATTTGACTATCAAACACAATTTTTCAGTTTCATTATAATCTGTATACATGCAGATTTTGTTCATGATGTGAATAGTGTTACCAGTGTACCATTACTCAGAGAGCCAGTGAAGTTGCATGGTAAAGCCTCATGAGAAGGTATTACAGTGTGCAGCTGAGTTAATATGAATAGTAACCTTTTAATGTAATTTTTCAGATAGTGGCAGAGGATCAGTTCTGTGGTCACCAAGGCAATGATATGTATGATGAAGAAAAAGTTAAATACACTGTTTTCAAAGTATTAAAAAACTCAACGCTTACAGAATTTGTTCAAAATCTCTCTCAAACGATGGTAAGTTTTCTCTACATGAATATCTGTATGTATTTATTTTATTACATTATGGTTGCTTCATAGTCTTTATCCTCTCCAGGTATTGGCAACAGTCATAATTTAGACCTTTTAAAACAGGAGATCTGTTTAAGAAAAGAATCTTAGCTGTTTTGTTTGTTTGTTTCCTGTCACAATTTTTATTTATTTTAGGGATTTCCCCAGGATCAAATCAGATTATGGCCAATGCAAGCTAGAAGTAATGGAACAAAAAGACCTGCAATGTTAGATAATGAAGCAGATGGCAATAAAACGGTAAATATTAATTGATAGAGGGCATTTTTTCTGTACATCACCCATGATTTTTAGTTCTCGTTAAGAATCTAAAAGTTTGGGACGTCAGATTTTTCAGATTTTTAATATAATCTGTATCTCATAGAGTTTGATATGCGAGAAGACTTGAGATTCATTGGATTGATTTGGACAGGAGAGAGGCCTGTGGTGCATGACCTTTTTTGCTATGAAAAAAAGCATGATTGTGATTTTTTGATGTTAGATTTCAAACAGATGTGTCTTTTTGAGTCCTCCATTATTTGGGTAAAAACTCTGGATTTAGTGAAATGTGTTACTTAAAATGTAAAACCTTGTGCCTAAATACTGCAAAACCTAAATACCGCAAAAAACAGTGGTTAGTTTCACTGTCCTGTTACTTCTAAAGTGAAGTAAATTTCTTGACATAATAAAGACAGCCGTAGGTATATTTTTTAATTAAAAATAAATAGGTCAATTTAAAATAAAACCTATAACTTGTGCTCCATTAAAACTTTTTTTAGTGTTTTTATATCTGTCATTGTTTCTCTTCATAAACTTCCTGTCATTAACAGAACAGAAAAAAAATAAGTCTTCCACTCATAGAATGTCATAAAGTTCTTGTATCTGATGAAGATGCAGATATTGAGTTGTGTTATGTTCTCCAGAGACGTTTTTTCTTCTTCCACATCTTTCTATGTAGATGATTGAGCTCAGTGACAATGAAAATCCATGGACAATATTTTTGGAAACAGTAGATCCAGAGATGGCTGCTACTGGAGCAACATTACCCAAGTTTGATAAAGATCGTAAGCATATATGCTAAAACTTGAGTAAATACAAAATGCTTTTATTTTGGGTATATCTCAGGAAACATTGTGTGCTCCTTTTTCGAATGTTGACATTGATGTGCCCATCAAATGACGGTGCTGAAATTAGTTTTTCTCATGCAGTTCTTCCCTCGTTTATTTTCAAGTGTAAGACATTTCCCATGTTTCTGGAATCACTAAATAAATTCTTATGTATATAAGAGTTGATTTATAAAAATTCAGTATATAAGAAGATTTAAGGGCATTAATCAAATTAATAAATCAAAGACACATCTTTGTCACTGTTTAAAGAAAAATATCTAGGTGATTTCCACACCGCCCACCCATACTCAAATAAGACTTACTTAAAATTAAATCTTAATTAAATCTTACTTCTTAACTTGTAGATGATGTAATGTTGTTTCTGAAGATGTATGATCCGAAGACTCGGAGTTTGAATTATTGTGGACATATCTACACACCTATATCCTGTAAAATACGTGAGTTCTGATATTGAATTTAATTGTTATAATTGAATTTTTTTGGAGACAATAGACAGCATACTTTTTTTTCTTTTAATATTAGTTTTATGACAGAAATCAAAGGTAAACCACAGAAAGAAATTCTGATTTCTCCCAACAGTTGACAGTTTTCTTCCCCATGTTGTGTCAGTGAAACTTTCCACAAGGCTGCAAGCTTTGCCTTAGTACACTGTTGGCTGTCTGTTATTATTTTTCTTGTTGCAGGTTTGCTGTATTCACGATGTGTTGCTAAACAAACAGCTGTTTCAAACTTGCTGTAAAGCTTTGTGACTTGATACTGCTCTCCAGTTTGTTGTTTTTTTTTTTCCTCCTTCTATTTCAAGGTTTTTTTGGTGAAATGTACTTCAATAGCTTTTAAAATAACTCTTGTACAACTTTTTGCTGTGGTAGCCTGAGAGCGGCAACTCAGACTGAAGTGGGTTTGAGCCTTGATTTTCGTATGGTTTCCTTTAAAGACTTCACCAAATGTCCACAAAGTAAAAATACTTCAATTTCTCCTTTTGAATGTCTCATTTTGTTGACTTGTACACGCTTTCTAATTTTGTATTTTAAATGTAATTTTTTATTCAGTCTCTCTTAGGCATTTTAAAACTTTTTATCCAGAGCAGAAAAATAGGTCCTCTTCTTTTTGGAGGAGGTCTTGCTAGCAGTTAAAATGCAACACATTTCATGTTCCTTTTCTTTTCCAATAGGTGACTTGCTTCCAGTTATGTGTGAGAGGGCAGGATTTCCACAAGAAACTAACCTTATCCTCTATGAGGTTTGGATTTATAGACTTTTTGTAACTTTTTTGTCTTTTACATGCTATAACTAGAGAAAAAGAAGCTTTGGTTAAAAAAAGGTTGCTCATAACAACTGTAATTTATAAATTGTAAGCACTCTGTAACCTGTAGCTTTGAAGTCTACAGTGCTGCAAGAGTGTATCAGCAGACAGTTAACTTCAAAACAGATTTAAACGACTAGAAGTGTGAGACTTTAAAAACAACAGATCTCTACATGAAGCCCTGCATGAGCAGCTTTGCTGTGCTAAATCTGTGCATATCTTCTGAGTCGCAGCGTTAGAGGGGCTAATGCTGCTGCGTTATTGGCCACTGTGTTTTCAGTGTCCCCCTTAGACAGCAGAGTTGAAAATGTTGCATCTTCTCCTTCCTTCCCTAAGTTAGAAGTCAGCAAATAAAATACCTAGCTGCTAACATATTTGTGCCCAAATAAAGAAATAGTAAAAATTTATAATTGCTGTATTTATTAAGTGCTGAAGACGCAAGTCTTGCCAAGGTAAAGTCCTTGCTGCAGTAAGAACAAGGAATTGGGTTTAATTGTGTTTTTTGTTAGCAGTCATGCTGCTCTCTCTGGTGGTTCCAGGGGAGCACACACACTTTCATGCTAAAAAGCAGAACTGTTAGGTACTTCTACTCTGTGTTAGTCAGACTTGATTCCAGTTTGTTTAGACAGGTGCTTTTATCCCAAGAGGTCAACCTACCTGTAAGTATAAATATGTAATATGCGTGTAGATGTTCTATCGTACATGCATTTATAATAAGGCTTTGTTATTTTTTTAAAAAGGACAAGTGAATTGCTCTACAAAAGTTCTGCATTATTAAAATCAGTGAGCATAATCAGTGTTCTCCACATTTCCTGGAAGCTGCATCAGTAGAACATTAACCTCTAAATTTTGGAAACTTTTTCAGTGCTAACAACATAATACTGAATGATAAGATAGTTTTCAAAATTAAGATAACTTGAGTGAGACTCCAAAGGTAAAAATGAGCAGCCTGCTTTATCAGCAGCAATTAGATGTATCTGGACTTTAGCTAAGATTACATTTAATTTACATCTATATCTCTCTCTATCCATTGGTTTCAGTTGAAAGAAGATACAAGTTAATCTTATCTGATAATTTCTTTACTATTGTGGTCTTTATTTTTCTTTTGTTTATTCTGTGATCAACAATTTTGTTTTTTATTACAGGAAGTTAAACCCAATTTAACAGAAAGGATTCAAGACTATGATGTATCTCTTGATAAAGCTCTTGACGAACTCATGGATGGTGACATCATAGTGTTTCAGAAGTAGGTATTTTAAGGGGCCAGCTTGTCATTGTAATTAAATCACCTAGTTCACTTTGAAAGCAGAACTTTCTTTGACTTAGCATTTTTAACAAGAGCGAAGTGTAATTTTCCAACTGTCGACATGTTCTCAGCAGTTCTCATTTGTTTATTCAAGGAGAAATGAAAAAATACTGGTAGTATTTTAATTGTCAGATGTCATGCTATTTAAGGAAAAGAAGGTTTCATCCTAGTTTAGAAAACTAATAACCTAAATTAGCTCTTAATATAACCAAAGAGTGTGGTTCATCAGTGTGTCTGAGATCTGCAGCATTTTTATGTGGAGCCTGTAACTCGGACACTGAAGAGCCTACCAGCATTTCAGATCTTGGGCTCTGTACCATTAGCACTGTACAGGGCTCTTGGCTTGGAGTTCCTTTCAGCCTAGAACTAAACTGAACTAAACTGCTTTCCCTTTTTTCCTTTTACTCATGCACACAATAAGTTCCATACTGGTCCACAGTGATGAGATGCTCCCAGTTTGCCTGAGCATGTGCGACTCGTAGGTGTACTGGTGCTTCAACTGGGGTTTTCTCCAGGGCAAAAGGAGAACTCCTGCATCTTGTATCTGTTAAAGGGATCATTCATAAGCTTGTCAGGGCTATAAATCAGCATTTCTATGCTCTCACTCCTGATGGTCACACCCAACTGTGTTGCTCTGTTTCTCTCCATGGGCTGACAGTGGGTGGAAGCCAGCTAGTCTATCTTCAGCACTCTTACCCCAGATTATGTGAGATGAATGTATTTCTCATGTCATGCCTTGGAATTCGCATTCCCTGTTGACCCAGTTGGTGTTATGCACCTTTGGCTGGCTGCTGACTCCTGGGTAAGTGCACAGCTTGTACCCTGGTGCTATTCCTCCGCTGAGAAGTTAGGGGTACCAGTCAGTAATGACCCAAACCAGGGTCTGTGCCGTCTGTTTCTGTGGTTCAAGGAGTGCTATTGTACATCTGGCCTCTGGGCAAAGCCCTTAATGCAGGAGTATATGGAAAGCTGTGGCAGCATCAATACAGACAGGCAGGAATGTGCCAGGGTGGGAGGGAGGGAAGGCTCTGGCTACAGTGCCGCTGTGAAAGGGCTGGAATCAGAGTATTGCCGGGTTGCCAAATGAGCCAGCACAGCATGTGAGTGTTTGCCCTTGCACTGCACAGAAATACTCAGGGGTGTGGGTCACTACTGACTGTATTAGTTCTACTGTGTACAAGTGGTGTCTCTTTAAAAAGGTTTCTAAACTTTATTTCTGTATCTCTTGACTGTCGCTGACTTACTGTAGAACATACTTTTAAAAGCCCTAACTGCTTGTGTGTGTAACAATGTGATATGTAATGGTGTTATCATTTGTTTGCTCTTGTAGGGATGACCCAGAAAATGATAACAGTGAACTACCAACAGCTAAAGAATACTTCCGAGACCTCTATCATCGTGTGGATGTAATTTTCTGTGATAAAACCATCCCAAATGACCCAGGCTTTGTTGTTACTTTATCCAATAGGATGAATTACTTTCAGGCACGTATCCTATTTGTTTCTCTGCTGTTGTTTCCTTGTTCTGAAAGTAACTTTTGCGTTAGTTCTCAACTGCATTTTATATATTTTTAGAAAAGAGTAGATCTGTTCTTGTATGTTTTTTGCATTGTAGTGATTACAGATTTGAGGAAGCCACTAACACTTGTGAGAAGAACATACTCTTAAAAAACACAGTTTTATTAATAATGAGTTGTTTTGACAGTCAGATTCTTTCTTGATATGCCATTCTGCTCTGTCAGGAAAATGATGCTGTAATATACATTTGCTTTATAAGTGACATATAAAACTTGCTCAACTTATTTAGCTGTTAAAAGAAAAATACCTTGGGAATCTAGCAATAGCTATTTGCTGCTTGTAATATCACCAACAATATTCATTTTGTAGACTAAACTGTGTTTTCTTCACACAGTGCTGTTTAGTGCTCAGTGACACTAACAGGTCAAACCTGTTGTTTTCATAAAAGTTGACCCGAGATGTTTAGAAGAGGAAAACTGGACAATGTAATTAAAAAACCAAAGAAACAAAAATTGGTTTAATCTATTAAGTGCCTGAGTAGATTTGGCTCCCTGCAGTTGCTCTGGTCAGTGTCAAAAAGATCATTTAAAACCAGACAGCTTTATTTTCTGTCACCAAAGGCAGGAACCTTGAGCACCTGCTTATATAGAGGAAGTCATGGATGACTTTTGCTACCCCGTTCTCATTGTCTGCTTTTCAGCAACTTGCTTTCTCTTATTTCATTTTTACTTGAAATGTAAGTTCTTTATAGTGTATTTTGGTAAGGGAAAAATAGGCAGAGGATCCCCATGATTTTGTGAGACAGTGACATGAAATATACTGATAGAAATGATGTGGCAGTATTATCCAGCAAGCTGACTTCCTTGGAGTGAATTAAAGAACAGAAGGAGTTTTCAAAGAGCACATCTTGCTTATTTCCCCAATAACACTATAGGGTTTCTTTAAATAAAAAAACCCCAACAAAAACAAATGAACAAAGACAAAATTGGAGTAGAGCTATTTTTGTGGATTTTGTGGCCTTTTGGTAACAATGGTTTAATGTAATAAAACAGGCAATTCCATCTTTTTTTTCCCCCAGTGTTTCTTATTCTGTGTCAACTGTTCAGAAGCTAAAGATACTGGTTTATTTTGCCTTGGGGAAGTAGACATAGTGGGGGTCTCTCAGAATTTCAGTAGCATAATTTTCTTGACGTGTAACAAACGACTGTGTGATTGTACAGCAATGTCATAACTGTCTGAAATAATTCAGAACTTACCAAAAATTTATTTGCAGGTTGCAAAGACAGTTGCGCAAAGACTTAATACGGATCCAATGCTATTACAGTTTTTCAAGTCCCAAGGGTAAGGTGAATTTCCTTAGTGTTTAAACTGTTCTTTAAAATACTTAGCCCAAATATAGATGGGTAGCAATTACTTTGTAGCTTTTTACAGGTTGTAAACTAATTCTTTACCAGTAAACTGTTAGCATTCTGGCAGGCACAGCAAGTTGCATAGACAGTTTAAATATTGCAATGGCTGGCTCTGCAGCCTCAAAGAATCACATGTTCTAGAAGAGTTCTAGGAAATGGCATTGAAAAAAGATGCATTTTAAAAGATGACTGTTTGAATTTCTAAAATCATTAATTAATTAATACAGCCTTACTGTATGGGATAAATTACTAAGCTAATGCAAGTGCTGTTTCAGTGAATGCAGATTTCTAGACTGGAGAGCAGAAACAAGTGCACATAAAAGCAGGATTTTTGCTGATTTTGCAGGTTTAAATGCAGGAATTACTTCACTGATTCCCCCTCCTCTTCCTTCAAAGTCTGCAAATAAAGTTTTATGAAGACGATGATCTAACAAGTTCATAGCTGCTAAAAGGGGCATTTCTGGTTAAAGTGGTGTCCTCAGGCACAGTTGTATAGAACTGAATTTTAATCTGTATAATACTATAGCAGAAAACAGTGTATTAGTAGTTATGCTGCAAGAATAACGCGTACACAAAAAATACACCATCTTTTTGTATTCATGTAAATGTAGATTGCTTTTTATTAACCTGTAGGTATCTCCATTCATCATCAATGAGTCTGTCTTGATTTGAGTAGCTCTTTATAGTTTACAGTGCTGTGGTCACTCTGGAATTTGCTGTGTCATGTGGCTCCACAAATTAACCTTTCACAATCTAAAGCATGTGCTGCTCTACTAGTAGTTTCAAAGGAATGTTGGTCTGTGACCCTGCAGCATTCAAAGTGAGCTTGTAAACATCCAAGAGAGGTAACATGCACAGGGAGTGGTATTTCTGTTCCCATATGCTCACCTGTTTTTAAAAATCACTAAAGCACTGAATATAATGCTGCTTAGGCTGTCCTAGCAATTATATGAAACTGTAAGCCAGGAATAAAAATGTAGTTGGTACTTTCATTTACTGAGTAGTGATGGATTGTAGAGAGATGCTTATGTTTTTCTTTTTCTTTCTGTAGCTATAGGGATGGCCCTGGTAATCCTCTTAGACATAATTATGAAGGTACTTTAAGAGATCTTCTGCAGTTCTTCAAGCCTAGGCAACCTAAAAAACTTTACTATCAACAGGTAGGAGTCTTTTGTTTTTATTGGTGTGAATTAAAAAGAAATAATTCTGCCCTATACAAAGTATGACTAAAGTGTTTTTTTTATTTTCTTCCTCAAGCTCAAAATGAAAATAACTGATTTTGAAAACAGAAGAAGTTTTAAATGCATATGGCTAAATAGCCAGTTTAGGGAAGAGGTAAGTGAAACTTGCTGTCACACACTTGCTGTCATTTCTGTGTCAAAACTGATACAACTGTGATTATGGTGCAGTAAACACACGCTGTTGTCCTTGAAGAACACAAAATTAGATCAAAGTTGTAACTTATGTAAAAAACAAACAAAAAACCCCCAAAACAAAACACCGAAAAACCGTAAAAAATAAATTTTAAAAAATTGTTCCAGTTCTTAACAAAAACTTTGAAGGTAACATAGATGTTCACTTCAGTAACTGTTATTCAGTGTATTCTATGCTTTAATGTGGTTGTTTACATTTTCAGGTTTTCTAATCATTTTTCTATTTCAAATTCTGTAGGAAATAACAGTATATCCAGATAAGCATGGGTGTGTGCGGGACCTATTAGAAGAATGTAAAAAAGTTGTAGAACTCTCTGAAAAAGGTTCAGGGAAATTAAGGTAAAGCTGGAAGATTTTTTTTTTTTTTTTTTTTATGTGATCATGTGGATTTTATGCAGAAAAGTATCCATAGAATTTAAAATACCGTGGAAACCGTTATATAGTCTGCTACTATGTTAAAAATAAAAAACTTCCAGATTCACATTGTTCAGCAAGTTCTTATTAATGACAAATATAAATTTTTTTGTTTTGTATTTCATAAAGTTACGTCCTTGGGATGTGTAAGTTTCATCAATTGCATTTGTTAACTCACAATTTAATAATTGTTTGCAATTCAGGTATTTCATGCTGTTTACTTCTCAGGAGTTAAAAGTGAGGTAATTTAAGGAGAGTTAAAATAAAATTAAATTGTAATTGCATGTATTGGCTTTGTTTGCCATGAGAAGTAATTTAAACTCTTGTAACTTCACAGCTTAATTTTTACTAAGGACTGAATTTTAAGTTTTACAAATACAGCAATACTATCTGTTTACATCCTAGCTACACTAATCCTTCTCAAGGTTTGAGAAAGAGATACTGTGTTGATTTTTTTTTTTTTAATATACTTTAAAAAATTTTTTAATGCTTTTCCTGTTTATTTATTTTTAAGGCTGCTAGAAATTGTAAGTTACAAAATAATCGGTGTCCATCAGGAAGATGAGCTGTTAGAGTGTTTGTCACCTGCAACAAGTCGAACGTTTCGAATAGAGGTGAATACTATTTTCTTACAGAAACTTTAAAACTTTACTTTGAGAGAAGAAACTCTCTCAAGTGGTAATTCTTTTTTCATCTGCTTCCCCATAATGATTTCATTGTAGCATTTTTTTATATATTCATTATAACAATAAATGAAGACTTCACGAGGGCTTGTCCATAGGACATTTGCTGCCTTAGCAATAATTCCAAGGTTTGTTTGAGGATTCGTGATGTAAATGTTTATGCTTAGAACCCACTTTCATACTCTAAACTTAAGTATTCTAGAAGACTTTTTTTCCTTTTCTGTTGAGTTTGAGGTTCTTGAGTCAAATTTTGATACTTACCATGTGATTTTTCTAAATATTTCATCATGCAAATCTGTTAACTTGCCTCAAAGTTCAGAAATTTAAGGAAAAAAAAAAAAAGTTTCCAGAGTAAACTGTAAAGAGGAGATGACAAGAGGTCTGTGATACTGCTATGGAGTATTACTACAGCTGATGGAAGATTTCATGTCAAAACAGCCATTTGGGGAAGCCAGATTATTTACTGAGTAGGGGAAGCTGAAATCCTGTCATGCCAGGGATTAATCATTCTTATAAAAAGACTGTCAAACAGCATGGTTCTTTTAATTGTTTTAAATAGACTTGCTTTACATCAGTAATGGTACCTCAGTTATGCCTTTAGTTACTTAAGTTACTTTTTGGGGAAGTTTTCGCTGATTGCAGTCATAATTTTTTGTCTGGATCTAGGAAATTCCTCTGGACCAGGTAGATATAGATAAAGAAAACGAGATGCTAATCACAGTGGCACATTTCCACAAAGAGGTTTTTGGGACATTTGGAATTCCATTCTTGCTGAGGATACACCAGGTACAGCATGCCTCCCTTTTCTTCCCTGTGGGATTGTATTGATGATGATTGTTTTAAGTACTGTCAAAGAAATTGATTAGTATAAAAGTGTGTAGGAAAATATTTCTCCTGTATAAAAGGTTCTACCCCATTTATGCCTTCTTACAGTTGAATAGTTTACCAGCTCACTTCTCTTTTTGCATATGCAGATTGTGTAGTGTTTCAGTGAACCTGTGCAATATCTACAAAGTAGGCATTCAGCATCAGCCAAGAACCTGAAATACTATCAAACTGATAGTAACCCCCCCTCAGAACCTTCCCAACAAGCCTAAAATCCTATTTCTAATGCCACTTTAGTAACGGCAATGCAAGCCTGTTGGCAGAAGTGGCTAGGCCGTGGTTGCTTGGCTGCTTACTGAGACACGTGGTTATGAAAAGTTATTTAGCTTTCTTGAACATTTTCTAAGATTATTTTGGATTTTGTAACTTCTATAATTTGATGTGCTTTATCTTCTAGGGCTGGAAGTTAATACAAGAGTGAAAGCTAATCTTGAAAGCTTAATTTTAATTCTTAAGTTTTTATGTGGTACAGCTCCAGCTGAATGTCACACTTAATGCTTTTAATATCAAAGTGTATTTCTGGGGGCAGTTAGCAATTTGCTTCTAAACTTTTTCTGGTTCATACATGTTAGTTTATATGAAAATTATCTACTTTTCCAAATGTTTTAGAATGGGAAATATGTGCATCTGCATCTCTGCATCCCATAGAATTTTGCTTTATTTACATATTTTTTATCAATGTAGAGTTAAGCCTGTGTGGTGATTTCTGGTGGAAACCATTTGCACTGCATTTCTCTGTGACAGTTGATATATATTATTGATCTTTTAAGCTGATGTTACACATCACTTTTTTTCAGTTTACATACACAGTGTGTATAAACATAGTAAAAAAAGCTACTAATTGAGAGGGAGCAGCACAGGTGCTTCCCTGCACAACTTCAGCCTGCACGTAGCAATAGCAGTGCATGGTCGATTTGTGGGACAGTTTGCATAATGATGGATCAATAAGACTTACAGTTGCTGAATTTATAACAAGTTGTATGTTGTTACTCCATATTGTAGTGGACGATGTTGTCACTTGTGTAATTTTGGAAATAACTGAGAGATTAAGGCAATGTATTTCATTGAAACTTGAAGCAGGAAATAACTAGCAGCATCACTTTTTTCCTAGATTTTTTTTTTTCCCATTAAAAATCTTGTTGTAATTATTAGGGTGAACACTTCAGAGAGGTTATGAAGCGGATTCAGACAATGCTGGACATACAAGAAAAAGAATTTGAAAAGGTAATGTCAAGTTGGGAGAGTTATCATTGCTAATTGTAGACCCTAAAAGAGTTTATTTTAAGAAGTTGGAACACCACAGATTTAGGATAAGTGTAGATTTTGATCAATAGAACACTTTCTTGACTTAAATAATGCTTTATCTGAGAACAATTAGGTGGGGTGTGTAGGAGTAGTATTTCTGTCCTGCATCAAATGAGATACTCAGCAAAACACTAAAGCAACCTGTAAAAGTTTAGATGGTGCAGGACCCCGAGAGGCCACCCACTTCAGGTTCCTGCTCAGAGCACAACTGGCTTGAAGTTAAGTCAGGTTGCTCAGGTTGTGCACTTAATTGCAATTTGAAAACTCCCAAGGATGGAAATTCTACCATGTTCTGGACACTGTATGTAGAGCATCACTGCTGTCATTGTGAAGACACTTATTTTCCTCATGTGTAATCAGAGTTTTCCATTTTGCAGCTGATGAAGGTTGCCTCTTGTCCTTTTGCCGTGCAGCTCTTGAGTAGAGTCTGCTTCTGTGTAACAATCTTCAGTCGATGGAAGGCTAGATGTCCCTGTCAGCCTTTTCTCCTCTGGGCTAAACAAACCCTTTTTCCTTAGCTTCCTGTGTGCCATGGACTCCAACCCCCTAACTGTCTTACTGGACTGTTGCTGGACTTGCTGCAGTTTGTTGCCATCTCTTTTTCCCTGGAGGGCCCAAACCTGGACTCAGTATTCCAGATGCAGTCTTATCATTTCCTGAGCTTTCATTTTATCCCACTGTCAAGCTTGTGGATGAAGATTTTAAACAGTGTTGGTCTATATCAGCCCCTGAAGAATCCCACTCATAACCAGCTGTGAGGACTATGAAATTAGACTTGAAGGCTTTGTTTTAATGTGATATCTTACCAGTTTTTTCCCTTTCCTTTTCATAGTTTAAATTTGCTATTGTAATGATGGGCCGACACCAGTATCTCAATGAAGATGAGTATGAAGTGAACTTGAAAGATTTTGAGCCCCAACCTGGTGAGTTTTTAGACAACCTGACTGCTGAAGTTGCTGCTAGTTGTTATAATGTGATTAGCCTTAACTGAGAATGCAGGAGATTGTTCTTTGTACATGAAATACATTATAAGAAGTAACTAATCAAGTATTTATATACATTTGTGTGCACACTTAAGTGTTGTGTATGTTAGTCTGAGTATATGTATTTTATAGCCCTATAAATAACTAAATAAGATGTTTCCTTGTGAGTTAAAAGTTTGGATTTGAGTGACCAAATGGGTCAAATATCAGTATAACATACTTTACAGAAGAGAGTTAGCGTCAGTTGCACCTTACCTGTGTTGACCATCTGCTTCCTTGTACCTTTGATTCTCACACTGTTGTTGGAGTGTGTGCTCATGTTATTCCTAAAAAATATTAAGGTCTATTTTCATCAGACTCATTTTAAGTGTGCTGCAAAGAGGTATTTGAATTCTCATACTCATTGAAGATGCTTCTTGTTCATTCTTGATATCTTCAATGAATCTGAAGAATCTAACAAGATTATTACATATGTGAATAGGAAGCTGTTTAGATTTTCTTTTCCCAAGGGGTGATTAGATTTTCCTAAGAGGTGATTCACCAAGCTACAAATGCAGCTCTGTTCTGGATTTGTCTGTGGATGGTCTACCATCTTGTTTACTTGACTAATATTTAAAGCTCTGTTCTCTGGGGAATTTACACACAGGAGAAACCAGGTTAACCCTTCAGGAGTTCCACGCAGTCATCTATTGAGGTTTTCAGTTGGGAATGGCACCTTTGAATCTGCAGTCAGAGCTCTGTTGAAAGCCTTGAATTCATCGGGGCTTTTCCCCCCTAGCTTAGCTGAGTGTTCCTTTTTGTGAGCTGCTCTGTCTGGTAGAAATGAGATTGAGGACAACTTGATCTCTGCAGTTCTATTTTTCTGACAATTATGGGCTCTGGTTTTTGTTGGCAGGTTGTGCTAGGGCCAAACTTTCTGATTTTTTTCAAGCAGTGTTCTGGATTTATGTAGCAGTTGTAAAGAAATCCTGTAACTGTCCCTTTATTTCAAAACCCACAGGGAGTTAGACCTATACTGTGATTGAATACTTTGCAGGAACCTAGCAAAAGTCCTCTTGTGGTATGTTACACAGCCAGGTTTATGGCTCATGGCTGTGAATATGAGGGGACTTGCCAAAACTTTGAATGCCTGCATCTGCACATGTCACCTGTGAGCAGAGAAGTATGTCACTGGAGGGACCTCTTTTTCTGCAGTAGTTGTGAGGGGTCTCTGGTTGATGAACTCAGAGGTGGATGTTTCTCCATGGACAGAAAAACTCTCTTGTGTGCTCAGAGTCCTGATTTTATTCTGTGAATCATCTTTCTGGGGTGGGAAGAGGGAGACAATAGTCTGAAATGAACTATGAGACTTGCTGAGCAAAGCAGAGCCAGTATTGCCAAAACAACGTGGAAGACTAACCAGGTAACTAGGGTCAAAAGTACAGGACTAGCAGAAATAGGAAAAGGGAGAACTTGAACTGTTTGTAGGAGTTGTAGGGACTGTAAGATGAAAGGGTTTTAATTTGAGAGTTCATGGGAAGTTGCCCCTTTGATATAATATGCTTTGATAGAATTCATGCCCTCTCCGAAATTCTCCTCTGGAGTGACAATAGGATGCTCGAATGCCTTCTGGTTACACTTGACGGCTTTGAATTAGTGTGCTTTTCTTGCTAGGGGGCTATTTCGTTTCTGCCTTTATCATTTCACTTCAAAGAACATTTGATGCTCTGCATTGAGGACATCTTAAAAGAGAATTTCTCCCACTTGCAAGCAGTATGTGGACTGTGTTTTTTAATGAAAACTAGCAGTAGATAAAACCATATTGGGTTGAACAAGTGAAAAAATCTGTATGTTTTCTTTACAGTCAAAATATGACTAAATTTTTTTCTCAGAAAAGAAAGGTCAGTTACATGATTTGTTACTTAACTGATTATTTACATTTTACTTGAGTTTAACAAATGTTCTCACTTAAAGCAAGTGATAAGAATAACTTAATACAGCAGAGAGAACTTAGAATATGACAAATACTGTAGATTGTCGTATTTAGATGTTGAATGCCTTTCTGTTTTCAAACAGGCCCAGTGCTTTGGTGAAAATTGGTACTTTGATGTGCCTGTGACCTTAAATTATAACGGTGGTTTTCTTGCTTTAGCACACACTTCACTGCTTTAAACTCCTATAAGTGACTGAAAAGAGAAAAACTAACTATCTGATCCAGAAACAGCTGTAAAGTGTATTATTGGAAGGAAAGCAGTGGTCAGGAAAGCCAGCCTGTTGGCTGTGCTCTGTAGGACTGTTCTCAGTACTCTGTGATTCCTAGCAAACTGTGAACAGGGCACACAGGAGTAGTTTGTGTAGAGGAAACTTTCCAGTTTAGTCTTAAAACTTCATTATTTTTTTCTCTTTTCTTTTCTAGGCAACATGTCTCATCCAAGGCCATGGCTAGGGCTTGACCATTTCAATAAAGCCCCAAAGAGAAGTCGCTACACTTACCTTGAAAAAGCTATTAAAATCCATAACTGACTTACTTAACCAGATTGTCAAGGCAAGGGACAAAAATAAGTGTGTGTGTGCACCTTTTTAACAACTGTAGAACTTTGGTACACGTGCACTATATCTGAAGTCTTCAGCAAGAGGATTTGCTGCTGATGTTAATTTTATTTTGTTGAGGCTGTTCAGTTTGGCTTCTCTGTATCTATTGACTGCCCTTTTTGAGCAAAATGAAGGTGTTTTTATAAAGCTTGGATGCCAATGAGAGTTATTTTATGGTAAACGTAATGCAAGGCAATTGTCAGCATAATGAGGGAAGAGTTTAGTAGAACAGTTGACATTGGCAAAATATTTGTCGGTAGTACGTTTATAGATGGCATAAGCTGGCTGGCTGCCCTTCCCGGTATGGTGTTCACCATCACTGCAGCTAGTAAGTCTTATGTTTAGACTCACATCAGATTTATTTCCTTCAGTTATACTTTAAATGACATTTTTGTGCATTTGTAAATGCAAAAAACTCACATCATCAATAAATAGCAATCTCTACTTCATTGTGTACATTGTTGGCACTTATTCGGGATTTTTGTCTCCTCCAGCTGCATAGGATCTTTTTTAATAAACTAGTTTTCGTTTAATTTAGTCACTACTATGCATCCCGTTTTGCCAAGTGGATGCCCTGAGTCCTAAAAAGAGATATTTGGGTCTTTTTATTCAATTTTCAACCATTGATAGATAAATACCGTTGCAATTTATTATGCCATCTTCTGGCAAATAGAATGACACTCAAAAGTTGGCAAAAGCAAGTGAAAGGATTATAAATATCATTAATATAGTTAACATGGGAAGAGATGGGGAAAACACAAGAAATAGCCTTTTAGCACCGAGGGCATGCTCACTAGTGTTTAGTAAGCTGTTGACTTTGTATAAAAAAGGAGGAAAAAAAAAAAAGAAGAAAAAAAGAAAAAATGAAATTGTATATTTAATGAATGAACATGTACAATTTAACACTTGGAGGTTAATTTTGTTGGGTGAGTCTGCAAGTGAATTTCACTGATGTTGATATTCATTGTGTGTAGTTTTATTTCAGTCCCCAGACTGCTTCCTTTTATTTTGGAGCTAATGCCAGCCGCGTGTCTAGTTTTGAGTGCAGTAAAGATAGAATCAGCAGTTCACACTTAATTTTACATTCTTTTCCAGTATTTTATTTTGTTTCTGTAGCCGCAGTGTACAACAACTCTTCCTGTATATTGCCTTTTTTTGCTGGAAAATGTTGTATGTTGAATAAAATTTTCTATAAAATTTTTCTTCGGTGAGTGATGACATGGACATTGAAGAAGATTTCTCCTCTCCTTGGAAAGAGAGTTTTGGGAAATGTTTTAGTTTTTGAGGTTTTGATAAAGGTGTGTTTTTTTTCTTAAGTGTTGACAATTGTATAACCCTCATTGATTGTTTTGGGGAAAGTTTGTGGGGTTTTCTGTTTGTTTTGAATTTGGAGGGGTTTTTTTGTTTTTTTTACCTCCTAACTAGTCACATTTGAGCTTAACAAATAAAAGGTTTTCCAGGAAGGAGCCGTGTACAAATAAGACAAATGGAAAAATTATTTTACTAGTCTGTTTGTAAAGCTTGTAGTAGAGTCTTTGTGGTAGACTTGACTCTGCCTGCCTGTACAAAATTTTGTGGTCCAGATTCTCAAGTCTAATATTATAAATGGTGTAAAGTGAAATCTGGAATCTCTAAAGGTAAGCTCCCTTACTAGAGTGATAGATTCCCACCGTAATGTATTCCCTGTATTCATAAGAACAACAAGAAAAAGTGCTTAGAAGCTTCCCTTTCCCAGACCCATCAATAAACATTTAGTAGGGGTTGTGTACACGTGACGGCCTTTCTACTTTTTTCTGAGATGGATTCTAGTGATTACTGAAAACACCAGCAAGTATTTTTAAATTAAATTTTAAGATCTGTTTCATTCTTTTAGCTTTAAAATGAATTATTCTGTCAAGTTTTAGGTATGTTTGGATTTCTTTTTTTTAATTTATATCTTGCAGTGCTTTTAACTGTCTCTTAGTTATTTCCAATTAAGGCAAACTAGTTGGTTTTTGGTTTGGTTTTTTTTTGGTCATCTGAGTGCATAGGTTACAGGTAGAGGGGAGTGCTTAAATGGCATGCCTTAAGTGGATGAAGTTTTCCTTTGATTTGTATTTGCATCAAAGTGGTGAGAATTACACCTCCATCCAAGTGGTGTTTTTACTAGTGCTTGGATTGTCTCTGCAGGCTTTCAGTAAATGTTGGGATTCGTATTCAGAATATTTCAGTAAAACCATAGGCTCTGGTCAGCAGTAGTAAGCCCTCCTAATTACATTTTGTCAATTTAATGTTAAGGTAGACTGATACAAAATTGATCTTTTATCAGTATGTCACTTAAGTTTTCACATTAACTTATGGGATGTTGGCAGCTTTTTGGGAATATCTTCAGAAATTACAATACTTCCTATTTCAGAAGAGAGTATCGTTAACAAAGTAAATTTTGGGTGCCTTTTGATTTTTAGATGACTAGCTTTTACATGCTTCAGTATTTGTGCTACTCCCACACTAGTTTTGAAAAGATGATATATTGAGGCATTCGTATGCAGTTTTCAATAACTGAAGCTTTTTTTTTTTTTTGAGTACAAGTTAATTTGTTACTAACATGTGGAAACACACCTATGAAGAGAAGAGGAAGACAGGAGGTTTTCTCAGGTGCAGTACATTTTAGTTTATTCTAAAAAATTTACAAGAATACAGTCCTCTAAATTACCGTGCTTTCCATTTCTTAATCAGATTTTGGAATTATCTGGATAATAGACAGTGAATGCATTAAATTAAGTTCATGATAATGTAAGTGTTAAGCAATAAGGATGTAATTTCATGGTACAGAGCATAAGAGCAACATGATGTTAATGGCCCATCTGAAATCTCCCTCTAAAAATAGCAAGTGTTGTTCCTGTAGATTTACATAGTGCCTTTTATCCTAAAGGAGTCCAAAGCATTCTGTGAAATCTAAGCAAATCACACCAGTGACACAGTTGCTGACTAGAGAGTGACAGCCAACAAAAACACCCTTTATACAAGAAGGCGTGCTTAGCAACACTGGGACAAATCCGTGCTGCCGCAAGATGCGTCGGAGGGATCGGGCCGATGCCGTACCGCAGGACGCGCAGAGCGTGCAGTGCCTCCCGAGTACTGGATCTACCTCAGCTGCTGCCCCTCCGGAGCTGGCACGCCAGCATCCCACCCTGGCATCCCGCCCCAGCATCCCACTGGAGCCTGGACCAGCCTGCCCTGCAGGCTCTGCGCTGGCTGCAGGCACCAGTGCCCAGATCTAAGCTACGCCGTGTCTTTGCTATTTAATATCCTTTGTGAGAAATCGTTTTCTGTAGGAACTGTATATATTGTAAATAAAATAGATGAGGATAAACACTGGATTGGTTCTTGACTGTTCATTTTAGAAAAGATTGGGAGCAAAAGCTAATGGGTTGCTTGGAAGTCAGGGTGATTTTGGTTCAGCCAAATTGTGTGTCAAGAATGACATTCATAGTGTAGGGAGAGCTGCTGACTTGTGCAGCAGCTTCTAGGCTTTGAAATCTTGTTTTTTCTCAGATGAACTAAACGAGCATTTGCATATTGGGGTGGGGATTGTTGGTGTTTGGTGTGTGAGTGATGTGGTGTCATTTCTTGTTGGCTTTTAAACCAGCCTGGTCTTTAGGGTCAGAAAAAGGAGAAAATGTTCATGTTTGATACACCCAAATCTGGCTTCAAATTTATGCTGAACTTAATTTCTGTCCCAGGTGATGTTTAAGTTAGCTGTGGACCAAGCAGGGCAGGAAATTAAATTTGCTAACCACCAGGCTGTAGCTGGAAGCCTTGTATTTTTTATTAAATACTTGAGTTAAACTATTGTGCCTCCAAATACTGGTGTAAAAATGTTCTACTTCTGTTAAATGTCTCCTGCACATCTTAAATAATATATATAATTTCTTTTTAATGTATATATTCATGTGTTTCTGTTTTTTGCACCTTTCCTCCTAAATGTTATCAGCTTGATGTGTTATTTACCATTAGCAGCAAAGCTTGCGATTTCACAGTTTAAAATGGAGAAAAATTAACATTTAAGAAAACCTGTGTGAAACAGTACAAAACCTGTTGGGCTGACATCTGCATGACTGCTTGTGGATTTAATTGTTGTGGTGCTGTTTCCCATTAGGTCAAAGTAGATTGGGTCACCAGAGGATGGTTAGTGACCATCATACAGAGTGAAAGCTGGGGCAACTGCTCTTGGGATTGCGTTTGTTCACCGTGGGGTTGAGAAGGCTGGGAGGTGCCCGCTCTGGGCTTAGAGGTTGCAAGTGTCGAAATATCTAAAATATAAAAATAATTCAAACAGATTTGGACAGTTTGTTTCCAAGTGGCTTGCTTGTTCAGGCCCTGAGGAAGGCCAGGGGAAGGGTTTGTGGCATGGGATCCCTCTGGCACTAAAGCCCAGTTCAGGCTCAGGGAGGCCGATCAGCATCGGTTTGGGTATCACAGCTGAGGATGTGAGGAACGCTGCGTCATGCCGCGCTTGCTCTAAAAAGTTTGTTTGCTGATAGCAACGGTTTTCTTCAGCAGTATCTCTTGGCTTTGCTGTTCTCTTTTTCAGCAGGGCAATGAGCCTTTTTCGGCGTGCGGTGTGTACCAGGGCGACAGCTCATCCTGCTGCTCCAGCACAAACCCGAGCTTGCTCCGCGCGCTGGTTTGATTTGCCTGGAAAACGGCTGCTGGACAGTTTTTCCTTACCCTGGTGCAAGTGTACTCATTTCACGTCTTGTACTCTAAGAACTGGAGTTCTTGTAGCCCTAAGCCAGCAGCGCTCGTCCTTCTTGACGCACCAAGCCCCGCGCAGGTCCCGCTGGTTTAGCAAAGCCGCGTTACGGTGTGCTGCGGG